ACGATCAACGGGACGACAGGTGATACAGGTGATCATGAACTTTGCCTGCTGACCTGACCCCGGCTCAAGGTTCTTTCCCTTTTCGCGGCTCAAATAAGGTCTCATCTCGCTGGCTACTTCTCAAAGCTCAGTAAAGCATGGAGGTTTGAATTTCTCAGTCCGCAAGTCCTAATTTCCGCATAGATGCGACTCTCATCGGTGCTGTCCTCTTCAACGCTAATGTTCTCTGTTAAATAGCTAAAGTCATGCAGCGAGAGGGCGGGCGAGCAGCGGCGGGAGTTACGCTTTCATAGCCGCGCTAGACTGCTGGGAGCACACCTTTCGCTGCAAAATTTCCCTTTTTTCAACATCTCTTTTTCTGGACAATATCATGGGATCCTCTTTGGGGAACAAATTTCTTTCTAAACTATCCTTACAGAAGCATTTTATTTCAGACGCTGAAAATCTCTGGAATGGAAAAGAAGTGGAGTCGTGCGCTGAATGCAACTCACGTGGAACAGAGTTCTGTGGAAAAGGAGTAAAGGGACTTGCCTGTCACTGTCATAAAGGCTGGACGGTATGTATTATTATTCCCTCTGAAGTAGACGCAATTATGCTCAATGCTCATTAACATGTTCAAAGTGGGCGGATTCTTTGAGCATTTGACTTGCTCTGAGATCTCGAAGTGCATAAAATACATAAAATATACAGTACCGTGCAGTGAAGTATTCGTTTTCACTTTTTTAAACGTAACTCCCTCAAAACTCAAGCTTTTGTTCCGATTTTTTGTAGGTGAGAACACATCACTCTACCTGATAAGGAAGCAAATCTTCAGTTGTCTAGGTGGCTTCTATACTAATTTAGAAATTTTTAATTTTTTTCGGTCCAATACCATATTACTTGTTCGAAATTCAATCTATCTAAAATTCAAAAATAATAACAAAATGACTTATATAATAACAGAATGGTTAAAAAGAGGACAACTTCAAAGTTGGAAGCCGTGTCGATCACCATCTGGCACTTCTCTCGTACTACCATATATCACGGATGAGTTCGCAATGGACGTAGACCGCGTTGTAAGGAGATCAGGACTTCCAATAAACCTGATCTTGATCTTGGCGGCGACCACCACCTTCGCTACGACGCATTCTGACATCATCACGTCCATATGAGAATCGGTGCGAACGAACAAACTGCACGATCTGTGGGGAGCAGAAGGTGTGCCAGATGAGGTGTGTTGTGTATAAGGTAGGAGTGCCTCGGTTGTGGAGATTGTTACATTGGAGAAACGGGAAGGCCACTCTACAAGAGAATGGACGAGCACATAAGAGCCCTGCGTAGTCCTCAAAACTACCCAGAGAGTCCATTCTCAAAACACCGCACACTTCGACACGCACAAGAAAGGCCACCGGAACTTCGTGTTGTCATTCTCTTCAGGAATATAGTTGATCCGGTCGAGCGAAAGATAAGGGAAGCATTGGAAATAAAGCAATGTGCACCACCGATCAACAACAAGGAGGAAATGAAGATGGCAATGAGACTTATTGAAATGTGAGGCTGTGCTACGTGCGAGAGGGAAGTCCGTGACTATGAGAAGATCATTCCCTTCCCATGACCCACTTAAAAGCCCACGTAGCATACCTCATTCTTCTGTTCTCAACCATCCCGTCCTCCCCCTTCCCCTCCTTTACTGTAGGACGGCATAGGTAGGATGCACTTGCTATTTAACAATGTTTGTTGTGTTGAATTGTATTGTGCAATGTTTTTCAGTTGATCTGAAGAAGGGCTTATGCCCGAAACGTTATCAGTAAAGTTTTATGAAAAGTCGTCTTCATTTCACATATCCTGCATCGAAATTATGAAGCTCAGGGGAACCTTTATATACCATGTTAGACCCTGCAAGATCAATATCATTTGAGTAGGGATTCTTTTATGTTAATACTGAAATACATAGCATTTTCCTCACACGCCCTTACCCTCGATTTGTCCGTTGAATTCCTCTTGAAATGTAAATCACACGGCATTACCCCCATGTTCATCCGATATATGTTGGCACGATTTCGTCGTTTCCACCAGAACTCTGTTCGTCGTGCGTGCAATAGACATCTCGAAAACTGTCTTCTGGATGACTGCTGTAGCAGACAACGACGCTCGAAAAATAACTGTATTCGGAACATCGTTCGTTTGAGAGGACATAATAAGGAATGAGTGAAATGGATTGCTGGCGACAATAATCGGCTATCCAGAACTGTTGTGATCGACTCCCGGTCAACCAGAGGCTATACCATTCACCCGATTTTATGGCACAAACCACGTCGTGATTCCGTTCTTTCACCTATCGATGTCCCATTCTTGATAGCGAGTCTGGATGCGATGTGAAGGCGTTCTAAGTCGCGGACCGGAATTTGCCAAGGCAAACTTCTCGGAGAACAGTAAAAAAGGACATCGTCTGCCGCTGTCATGAATTTTTCAGTGCGATGCTGGAGAACAATTGGACCGGGCGACTCTTCAAGAAACTCTTCGAAGAGAAATGCCTTTTCCTCGAATCCATGTCAGCACACCACAGCAAGATCCACAATTTAATTCGAGAATAGCCGCCCTCAAGCTGGACCTTCTTCGAGTATACAACGAACATAGAAGACGGCAAGTTCCAGACAATATGACAGATATGGAGCGAGCAGGTCTTAGAAAAGCCATTGACTTGAAGAGGTCATTTGCGATTTTCGGTTGGAGATAAGTGCGGTGGCTTTGTTGTGATGTCGCAAGAAAGGGACATCTCTTTATGCGAAACTGTTCTGTCAGATACCACAACCTATACAGGCTACTGATCCGACATTACAAACGAGAGTGCAAGAATCTTGAAGAAGTTGTCACAAGGATACTTGGTCCAAAGCTTGAAAAGAACATTTTGGCCCAATTGATGCCGAAGCACACAAGCACACCAACTTATTATCAATTGGTCAAGACCCATAAGTTGGTTCGGAGCGAGTTCGATGATACTGTGGACACTACGGGGGCCAACAAACGAGACCAATAGTGTTTTTTTTTTTTTTTTTTTTTTTTTTTTTTTTTTTTTTTTTTTTTTTTTTTTTTTTTTTTTTTTTTTTTATTTTTTTTTTTTTGTATGTATGGGCGGACGACAGAAGAATCAGCTGGTTCACACGGAATCCTCTGCCCACGCTAAAGTCCTTCACTCAGAATGTAAGACTCCTGAGCATTTTGCAGTGCATTCAACAACAAACCACGACTAGTATACCAAAGCTTCGATGTTGTTGCTCTATACACAAACGTTGATACGCAAAGAGCTGTGGAGTCTTGCATTCGTCTTTTACGCATACATCATCAAGAACTTCAGCTTTTTAACCTCAGTATCAACGACATTGAAGAGCTCCTACGGACAGTGGTGGTGATATTCCGTTTCCGGAATCGATTTTATAAGCAGAAACGAGGACTCGCTATGGGAAGCAGACTGGCTCCGTTGCTCGCGATTGTGTTCATGGATAGCCTTGAACGACAAGCTCTGTCATCAGGAATATTATATTTTGGACGATACATCGATGACATCTTTATCGTCGGCAAAACAAGAGCTGCTTTGCGAGAGACGTTTTCTAAGTTGAATTCAGCGCACGAGTCGATACAACTGACATCGGAAGAACCTTCGCCAGACGGATTTCTACCATTTTTAAACTCGAAAGTCAGGAATCGTGGACGGTCAAGTCAGCACAATGTGGTATAAGAAAGGGGCATCTCGTAACATCCTAATACACGCTCGAAGTTGCCACCCTCTCCACATGAAAGTGAATGTCGTTCATCACGTGCTGAATCATGTAACTGCTCTCCGTGAATTCCAGAGGTGACGGTGAAGTAGACGAAATATTGCGGCAAAATGGTTATAAAAGAGGACAACTTCAAGTTGGAAGCCGTGTCGATCACCATCTGGCACTTCTCTCGTACTACCATATATCACGGATGAGTTCGCAATGGACGTAGACCGCGTGTAAGGAGATCAGGACTTCCAATAAACTTGATCTTGCGACCACCACCTTCGCTACGGACGCAATTCCCTGACATCATCACGTCCATATGAGAAATCGGTGCGAACGAACAAACTGCACGATCTGTGGGGAGCAGAAGGTGTGCCAGATGAGGTGTGTTGTGTATAAGGTAGGAGTGCCTCGGTTGCGGAGATTGTTACATTGGAGAAACGGGAAGGCCACTCTACAAGAGAATGGACGAGCACATAAGAGCCCTGCGTAGTCCTCAAAACTACCCAGAGAGTCCATTCTCAAAACACCGCACACTTCGACACGCACAAGAAAGGCCACCGGAACTTCGTGTTGTCATTCTCTTCAGAAATATAGTTGATCCGGTCGAGCGAAAGATAAGGGAAGCATTGGAAATAAAGCAATGTGCACCACCGATCAACAACAAGGAGGAAATGAAGATGGCAATGAGACTTATTGAAATGTGAGGCTGTGCTACGTGCGAGAGGGAAGTCCGTGACTATGAGAAGATCATTCCTTCCCATGACCCACTTAAAAAGCCCACGTAGCATACCTCCCTCATTCTTCCGTTCTCAACCATCCCGTCCTCCCCTCTCCCCCTCCTTTACTGTAGGACGGCATAGGTAGGATGCACTTGCTGTTTAACAATGTTTGTTGTGTTGAATTGTATGTGCAATGTTTTTCAGTTGATCTGAAGAAGGGCTTATGCCCGAAACGTTATCAGTAAAGTTTTATAAGAAAAAAGAGTCTTCAATTCACACATATCCTGCATCGAAATTATGAAGCTCAGGGAACCTTCAATACTAAAATTGACTTATATAATAACAGACGTAACAACAACAATCAGCACTTTGTCGCAGAACCGTTTTCATCTACGACGGCTTGACACCGGCGAAGCACGGAATTGGGTTTTTTCTTGGTAGAGGTTCCCCTACGCGATCTTCAGTGGGACGGACTTTTCGAACTCGTTGTGAGCTTTTGGGCCTTCAGCTTGACTCCGAAAATCATCCTACAGATTTTTGCTCTGATTCAAGTATGGGGACTGCGATGGCATGGCAGTGGAGGAACATTGTTGTTGCGGAACCATTGCGAGAGCGGCTTTGATTTTGCGCTTGGGGTCGGAAAATGAAACACTACGGGCGACACTGCGAGCATGCGGCCAGATAGCAGTCATCCATATGTTGAGGCGCGTTTTGGAATCCATTTCAGCCTCGGTCCGATGAAGGTGATCAACCCCTATGCCACAGAAGCTGCCATGCAGTATCACCGCACCCCCTGCATTCGTCACGTCAGCACATGGAACCTCGGATGATATCTGGTACCAACGGGAAGTCGCAAAAACTTGACTTCTTTCGTGCTAAACAGCAAAAACTTCGATTCGTTGCTCTAGATGGCTTTTTGTCACTCCTTAATAGTCCGTTTCTTGTGGGCATGAGCCTAATTGAGATGCGCTCTGCCACTCTTGAGGGGGAATCAGCGGTTTCTTACTGAGCTACGTCAGAAGTGCCCAGCATCTCTCAGACAACGTCGCACGTTGTCTTCGGACGGATTTAGACCGTCTGGCGTTGAGAATCCGCGGTGAATTTCGGGTGCAGCGTGATGCGAGCCACTCCTTACAAGTCGCACAATGATTCTATTGGCGAGAGAAGAGGTCATTTTTGCTACTTCTGGGCGCTTTTTGACTTTGGCAGGTTCAATGCTCTTGAATTTCTTCCAAGTCGTCCACTGGGGCTCCTTGAACTTCAAAAATCTGCTGGGATGTTAAGCCTTCGTAGAACCTCCGAAAGATGGCGTCACCTGGTCCTGCCACAAGCTATGAATTCCCTAATGTCTTGGAATGTTCTGAGTACTGTGTAGGCATATGAAACTGACACAAAACATAAAAAACACACGTGCTCTCAACATGGAAACTCATCGTTTATCAACAATGAAATTGGGTGCCCGCGGACAATACTCGAAAATGAAGCTCCATTTCCCCTTGAAAGGAGGCTATCGCACCGATACGCTGCTATAATATGACTACCTGTGTGTGTCAACTGCTGTCGAAGTTTTACTGCGAAAGCTTGAGTTTTGAGGAAATTACGTTTAAAAAAGTGAAAACGAATACTTCACTGCACGGTACTGTACATATATATTGGGTTGTCTCATAATTCCTGTCGCATTTCTATTCAATTTCAAATTCCTTCCGTCTAAGACCGTTTCATTGCGAAATACGTTAGTATGTTGAAGTATGCTTCAAGTGCCTTAACAGCGTGGTTTCGGAAGCGCAAGCCCTTAAAGGAAGCAATCACGATAATTTTCATGGCAACGATAAGGAAAGCTATGTATTGGAGTGGATAGAGGTCCTGCCCAATGTTAGAACACGTGAAGTTTCAGTGGCAGTGGCGCCTTATCAACGGAGTGATAAGGCGCCGAAATCCACTTCCGTTCAGCAAAAACCAAGACTTATCGATGTGGAAAGGGGTGCGATAAGAGCGTGCTAGATATGATACCGTTATCGTTATCGTCCCGTTTTCATTCTGGAGTGCACCTCTTATCAAGCAGCCGCACCTTCTTATCTCATCGTATCATATCTTCCATGGGCTTACACTCGTCCAACAATTACTGCCTCACACCTTATCGATTGATAACGCGAGGGTAGCAAATCCAGCGTGGAAGCCAGCGTGACTGCTTCCTTTAACGGGTTAATCAACTAGTAATAAAAATAGGTCAGTGACTGCAATCAATGATTATGCTTTACGATCCTCAAATGAACTCTGTAGCAAGGAGGACAACAGAGAAGATCAGCGCTGTGTTTGACTCAGTCTCTGCTACTGATAGGGTACTGAGCTAGTGGTCCAATCGCAACGGCAAAGACGAAACGAGCTATGAACTTCAACCTCATACTGGGCCTGCGGTCATTTTTGATGAGCGCCCCTTGCACCCTAAATTGGGAGTGCCTCCGCACGTTGCTACCAGGGTATTGTAGCAGATACCTGAGCGCAGCCGATGCACCAGCACACGCCATCAGTATGGCAAGGACTGCTGCAGAATGAAGTTTGATGGAAACCTTATGGTCCGGCCGACCATGAGCGAGAAGCACGCCTGACCATCTGGGGAAAATCCATTCTGGGACGGCAAAAGCAGAGCCTTCCCTAATCGGTCACCAGTGGAAATGAGTCATGAGTCCACTGCGACAACAACATGCGGCACGTCTGATGGCTGCCTCGCAGCCAGGAAGCACCAGCTCAACCAAAGCCCGAACTCCGTTTTCTGAGAATATCGCTCTCGTTTTGTTGGATTCGCTAGGTGGCCTGGTTTGGGAACCACTTCAATGTATGAAGACAAGCATTGCTAAAGTCAGCGCGGAATAGCCCTCTAGGCTGGCTTCGGGGTTGCGAGGGAATCGTCAGAAACGTCTCAGATTCTCCTTTCTCCGAATGTACGCCAGACCTCACATTGCAATGCCAACTCACCACGTTCTGAGGGAGATAGCCAGGGCCACGATACCTCATCCACCATATAGCATTGGCATCGCTCTATCGGACTATCGCCTCCCCTGCGCCCTGAATAAGCATCTGCCAGAGAAGAAAGTTAAAGATTGCGACCACCCCAAAAACGACTTCCAAATTCTTCAACCCCCAGTTTCCTTCATTCTGGGCTGGAAGCTTCCAAACGCTCACTAGCAAATGCACGCATATCAGTGACCATGATGGTGGTTATGCTATTAGATCAGTTGTTTCCCAGAAGAGATAAAACTTGAATAAACAAAAGTGTCGAAATTGCGACAGGAATTATGAGACAACCCAATATCACAACCCTTTCCGAATGTCTCAAACAAAAGGCGTTTTCAAAAAGAAGTCCCATTGGGGTCAACTGTCGCTCTCGCACTTTTCGAAATTTTGCGATCTTCTTCTTTCTCACGAAGATTCTCGGTACGACCTCCCCTATAAGATGCACAGAATATAACTGAAAAATAGAAAAGAATTGACGAATCAAACGAAATGATTGAAAAACTTATCGCAGAAAAAAATTTGGTTGGTTCATAAGTTTAAGGTAATTTTTGCAATGGTATCCACTTTTGCAATTTCGCCTAACGGACTCATCGTCTCGCTACTTGCTAAGGCTAATACGCCGATTTCGCGAGAAGCTCTTCTGAGTCCGTGCTCTTTTGCCCTTGTTCAAACGGACGGTTGACCCTGGGTCCGATGCTGTATCCTATGATTGCTCATTGTGATGTGGGTATCATAAGGACTGAATAATTAGCTCTTGTTCAGTATAAAGACTTATTCCTACCCATAACATTTTCGTCTTAATTTTTTTATGTGTGTATGGAAGCATATGTAGCATGGGCTTCGTTGCAGCTTTTTCTTTGGAAGTGTAATACTTCTACTGGTATTTCTTACTGTTGGTGGCGGGACTCCGCAAAATATCGACGGTGTTAGCTTCTTGCATTTTTCAGGGTTGTTAGT